CTATTCACAAAACACAGCCTTTGTACTCATAGAATCATCAAGGTTGGAAAAGACCTTCAAGATCATCAAGTCCAACTGTCTGCCCTACAACCCCTAACCACTAAACCATCTCCTGAAAAACCATGCCTACCTGTTTTTTTAACATCTCCAGGCACAGTGCCTCTACCACCTCCCTGGACAAGCTGTACCAATGCCTCTTCGCTCTTTCTGTGAAGAAATTTTTCATAATACTCAACCTGAACCTCACCTGGTGCAACTTGACCCCATTTCCTCAAATGCAAAAGTCAGTCATATTTAAATCTTATATTCTAGTTGCCCGGGAACTGACTGTCACACAGGTGAGAAGACAACATGTCAATTTCGAGGTGTTTTTAGCTACAGAACAGCCAGGCAGAACCTTCGGAAAGACTGACTCTATCCCCTTCCAAAGCATAGTAACATGTTCTGCAAATGGAGCAACGTCCCTTAGCATTTCTCATGTAGGAGGGGGGTGGGTAAAAGTGAAAGGCAGAATCAAGCCTATAATTTAGCACAAGCTTGATGTGTGAGTGTTAGGCACTCAAAATCAAAACACACTCCAATAAGAATTGTCTACTTAGAAGGTGTTCTCTCAAAGGAGATATATAAAACTGTCAACGAGGATCCAAGATAAGCTGAATTTTGCCCTAAATACAAATACAGTGTCAGTACTATACAATACGGCAATACAAACCAGAAAATGCAAGAGGAAGCCAACTTGATAAAGTTATCTAACCACACAGCCATGAAACATGCCATGAGCTAGGAAAAGAGTGAAGCCTATCCCTCATGCTGCAAAAGCACTCCAGTAAGCTGTTTCCCTTTTTATACAAACAAAGCATAAGAGGGCACCAGACAGCAATAAGTAACATACATTCAAATATCTTTTCTAGAGACTAGTCTCCTCCTGGAATTAGAAAGATGATGACCTTGAGTTACAGAAATAATCCTTTCAGAACTCTGCCTATAACAAAATCATAGGCATAGCTATAGTTGGCTTCCTTGGCCTTGCAAATTGCCATACATCAGGCACTTCGTTGCAAGCTTCACATTCACAATACAAAATTCTTAAATGTACTTTTCTCCACCCAGCCAGGGATGGGCAAGGAGATTATACTTTTCTTTTAACCCTTGCACCTTGTTCATTTTTCACAGCTCCTATGCAAGGAAAAAGTTAAGGCTGCTTAGTACAATACTGCACTTCACTATATATCAAGTCCAATATTATTTATGGTTAAATTTTCTACTTGGCCTATGAAAAGAAAGGAAGGATCAGAAGATAGAAAAGTGCTTCTAGCATAAAATCTGCTGTTTAGTGCAGTTGAATATGTAGTTTTTGAAATATTCCTGTCTTTATATTTTAGCACAGATCACCTCCTCATATCTTGTATAATTTTTTTTTTCTGAAGTTAGCTATAGCCTGATATGCATACAACTGTTTGTTTTTTATATATAAAAAATAGTTACCTGCTCTTCTGTCCTGAAGGAGATACCATTTTTGTATCCAACTACATACCATACTTAACCAGCATCTACTTCTACAGGGACATCACAGAATGCATATGCATGTATCCAAGCCTCAGTGTCCTCTTCAGAGTCAACTAAACTTTTTCCCCTGACAATAGTCTTCCATTATACCTACAAAAAATGTTCTATATAAAACATGAGCCAGTCACATAGGGAAAAAAAATACAGCATTTTCACTATAATTAATCACTCTCTATCAAGAGCATAGTTATGTTTAGAATGGTAGGACAGTAACTACTTTTAAAAAGCTTACATATTACAAGAATTGTAGAGGTTTCAGAAGGGGAGGGCATGCACTAACATGTATCTACATTATATGCTTTAGGAATACTCTCAAGAATAGGATAGTACTTGTTTTTCTAATTCTCAGTATTTTAAAGTGTTTCAATCTCACATTCAAATCAGAATCACAATAACGCAGGAGAAAGCATATTGGGTATGAAAAGTTACATTCTTCCATGGCAGCTTGCTTCAACTTGTATTCACTAGGTCAAGTGTGGCACACAGCCGTTCATTAGTTTGTTTCTTCAGCTGAAGAAAAGGTTGTTCCATTAGAGCACACACTGGTTAATAACAGCCCTGGTACACCCAGTTCAACCCAATGCACAGTCATTTTGTCTGTCAGGGAACCAACTGCCATGTGTCTGGCAACAGGTAGGTAGGCAGTAAATCCATCACACCACATTAGAACTTAGTAAACACACTCCTCTGTATCAGACCTTTCTGATCTGATCTGTATCTAACATGATGATATGCGCTTCCACTTACTTCAGTAGATCCAAATTCCACACTTCCATCTTATTTTTTACCCCATAACCAAGTGTTTTGAACACATTCACAGAGTATATTCGGATTTTCCATACAGATACATGCAGGCTCTCATGACCATTGCAGGTCCCTACCAGGCCCATTCCAGTTCTCTTGTAGGACCACACACACTTGCTGCCCACCTACTGTTGTGTGAGAGTTGAATTCATGAGGTCAATGGCCTCATGAAGTTAATGACCCCAAGATGCCCTTTTGAAACATGCTTATATAAATTCAGAACAATGAGTTACAAGTTAAAGTACTAAAAGTCAATCACGTTAACAGTCAATACTTCAGTATAATTTCTAATCCTTTTAGAAGTTATTGTTGTTTACTATTCAAATCCCACTTTTACTTTGTTTAGAAAAGGGGAACTACCGTTAACTCTCTCTACACTCCCTAATATATAGAACAGCTGAATATACTAAAGGACTGCAGACTAGAATGGAACAAATACTTCCCAATACTAAAACAAAACCAAAAAATCACCACAAAACTCCTAAGCTTGAAAACTTCCCTGGAAGTGCTAGTGACTTGAAGAGATAAAAAAAAGCAAATCCCAGCAAGTCCAGAGAAGTAGCCACTACTTAGCTCTGTCAGTTGCTCTCTCTTGTGAGCCCTCATTACTACTCAAGCTCCAGCTCTTACACAAGTATCAGGTCAGTAAATCAAAGGGATTTACTGCAGTGTCTATGCTATGAAATCAGTGCAAAGAAGTTCAAGTTTTACCATATTTTGATAGATTCAATCATTAAAATACTGGTTGAAGAAACTACGTAGCTCATATTCCTATAGAAAAAAAAAAACAAACCACCAAAACCCTATGTTGTCCTGAATGTAGGGTTTTAAATTAAGATGTTACAACGGCCAAGATATGCAAGTTTAATTATAAGTTAAGAATACCTAATGTAAAAGGCAAAAACTTGCCTCGAACTCCTATGGGGCAGCACATGCAGGCATGGGGCAGTACAAACACACACAAACAAAATTCTCTACCCTATTACACATGACATTTTATGCTTCACTTTTCCAATCCAAAAAAATTGGAAGCCTAAAGTCCACATTTTTATGTTAGAAAAATAAAAAAATCAGGTACAAGTGCCATCTTGAGTGTTGTAGACTGCAAAACTACCTCCTCCACAATACTCCAGAATATCATGGCTACCACCACAACAATTCTGCAAACAACAAAAGTGTCTGTTATCTAGGTGTACCAACAGAGATGTTTGGTCTAACACCTACCTGAAAAGAGATTTCATAAAAGAAAAAGAATTTTTTTAATTGCAGAACATAGATTCCCCCCCTTTTATCATCAAGCCTGTTTTAGCAAATCTCACCAGATTTTGCGTGCTGTTTAACAACTGACCTCCAACAACTGAACTGACCTCCAAGGGGCTCCTGAAGTCGCTCCTCCTTGCTGTTACAGAAAGTTGTTACTCCACCTTGTTACAGAAAGCAAGCAGGATGCAACATACCATAATGCTTTTTTAGGCGCAGCTTCCTCCCCATACCAGCTGACATAGTTCACTCCAAAGCATCATGAAGGGAAGGCTGATGCATTTAACCTAAACTTCAGAATTAAATGTTGATATAGCGACATAAGATGGCGCACAGAGCCACTCTATAAATGCACTATTTCTCTCAAAGGCACAGAGATAGCAATATTTCAGGTCCAGCATGAATGGGGTAAATAGAACCAACCAGCTGCTGTCCCTCCTAGCATAAGAACTTGACACCCAAACAAGGCATCTGAGGAGCCAGGCTGACTTCAAACAAAAGGGAAGAGCTCTTCACAAAGCAAGAAGTAAACCTGCAGAACATGAAGTCCTTTGGCAAAGAGGTTGCAACAGGATTTACACAGGTTCAAATGAAGGTTAGAGAAAACCTTGGAGGAAGTCCAGAGTTACTGAAAACATGAGTAACCTCTAGGCACTGAAGGTTGGGGGAAGGAAGCAGACAGGCAGGACTTAAACTTGTAGTTCTGCCATGTGTCAAAAGCATTTTGCTTTCACCATAGTGCCACAGGGCTGCAGAACAAAGGGTTGGAGGATTGTTGCTCTGAAATTGTGTGACTTTTGTATTCATGCTCTCAGATTTTCTCCTTCTAAAGATGCCTCCCAGCATCTACTATAACCAAGCAAAAGTTGTATCATTAGCAGCACTACCAATCTGTTCTTCTAGGGCTCAAAAAATATTACATTAAGAATTACAGAAGTTCTAGCTATAAGATACTAATAATTGTATCAGGACTCCTCAGCAACCCATATTATTAACCTATTTCCATTTCAAAAGCCTTCCTTCTCTTTCTATGCAAAAAAACCTCTTATGTTAATGTACTTTAAGCTTAGCCTACAGATAACTTAATCACACTAAACATAATTTCAAGGACTTTCATCTAAACTTAAGTTATTAAATCATTACTTAAGAATAAAAGTGCTCTTCAGAAGTGTCATTGCGAGGTTCAGGAGAACAGTTGTTCTGATCTTAACAGGTCTGTACCTCTAAGTCAAAGCCTTCTTCCAAGCTTAAAAATCTATGTTCCCTTAAATAATAGGTTGTGGCTGTTCATTCATAATTACAGAAATCATAGACACATAGAATTCTGCAGTTTCATTACCATCTCACTCGTTTCAAGCCAGGTGACCTACCGAATGTTTTCCAGTGCGCTTGTTAGCTGTTGTTGTGCAATATCATAAAGTTTCACTTTGAAGCCTCCAGCAGCAAACACCATAGCCCAGCTGCGACCAATGAGTCCACTGAAAAGACAATTAATGCCAGGCAATTAATAAAGAACCATTTATTTTGAGGAGGAGAGTAAGAGAAGCACTGCAAGAAGGAAAACAGAGCTTGGACTCTTCAACATTTGATGAAAAGATTTGTTGTATACTAATGAGAAAAAAAACTGTAACAGAGGAACTTCCTTTGCAAGCTGTGTAGCAACTTCTCTGAGAACTGGGAGAAAGATAATGAAGACAAAACAGAAAAAGAACAGCAAAATTTAAAACAGTAAGACCTACTACTTTGGTACAGTGGACTCAAGCATCAGCAGTATTTGTCAGCTGCAATCTTAACCTGAACTTGGTGCATGAAATTACACTAGGGTGTGGGGTTTTTTTAAACCTTAATACTCCTCTGTTCAGTTCACAGCCTAAGGACAAGACACCAGCTCATTGGTCCAAGAGTTCAGGATCCTGCTTCAGAGATCATCAGCAAACCAACAGCCCAGCTACCAAAGTATTGGGTCTTCTATAATTCATGAAATACCATAAACATGCAAACCCAAAACATGGGTTTGATCCTGCTTTTCAACCTACCAACCTCTAGCACTACCCTTATTTTCAGATGAGGCACCCTACCATACCAAGCCATGCAGGAACAGTGTGTCTACATCTTTTGGTGAAGTCACATTACTGAGAAACTCAGAGGACTCTTGCAGTAACTGACAATTCTATCACAACTCTTAGAGCAATGCAGGTTTCAACTTAATTAGATTTAGAGCAGGCATCAGCCTCTTCAAATGGAAGGGCTGAGGAACAGTGCAGTTAAGCTTAAATATCCTGAGGTCACAAAAAAAGAAAAGAGTATCTCTATAACAAAGGTAATAGGAGAGTTCACAACTTACAGCAGAGGTTTACAAAGATAATTACATGCATTTCCTGTCATTTCTGAGATTGCGGTACTTGTAGTATTAAATTTAAGCAACCTTTGGCAAGTGAAAAATGCAAGGCAACCAGGACATCAATAAAAAATTCAAAGGGCAGTAAGAGTCAGAGATAAAGCAAGAGGCCAGATGATACAGGAAGGAAAACAGGAACATGTTCAGCCTTTGGTTTAAACATAAAAGAAAGGGAACAAACCAGGAAGTTTCAGGAAACCGCAGGAATCAGTGGAACTAACCGGGATTTTAAGAAAAAGTGACAATGTGCATTTAGCGTTGTTAAGCAGATACTATATTCTCACTCAAATTTAAACAAAAACTGCACCCACAACTTTGCTGTAGCAAGCCCAGACCTCAGAAGTTCCCAGGCAAACTTCAGAACGAGCACAGTTACAGGAAGGTGAAGTATAGGTCATGGTTTGTTAGCCACTGTGGACTCCTGAGCAACAAGTATTTCTAAAGTAAAAGCATTTGGATCACTTAAACAACCATACCTGAGCCTTCAGTGTCTTTATAAACTAGCATTAACTCTCTCACATTGAGCTTTTAAATTAAGTTTCCTTAAATCAGTGTTTGACAAAAAACCCTGTATTTTTATTTTATTTCACCACAGGTTTTTGGGACTGTGAAGTCTGTTTTTCTTTCGAACTACAAAGTCTACAAAGTGAGTCCAGCTCTCCCAACCCTTTGCACACCAAGACAAGTGCCCCAGACCTCAAGTGATCTCACTTTTAGCACAAAATTACAGTGGTGAGCAGGGGGCTCTTACTGACAGGCTTCTTCCCTCCCAACTGGTTCATTGTTCAAAGACAGAACTTCAGTTTTAGCTCAGAACAAGGTGCAATAATGCCTGTCTACACAAGTCTGAAATACCACTGTAGCTCGTGCCTGAGAGAAACTTTAAGACTTTCTTGACATATTAAGCAATCAGCACCTTAAAACTGTGCTCAGATTTCTCAAATCCTCCTGCACTCGCACACAAAACACTGCAATGAAAAAGGGCATCAGTCTTTCAGGCCTAAAGGTTGACTTACTTTGAGTAGTGATGCTAGAGATGGTTTGGGTTGCCTGCTTTGTTTTTGTTGATTTTTTTAAGTAGCAAAGAGCCGTGAGGAAATTCACCAAAGTCACTGCAACGAGCCAAGCGGGTGCGCTGCTCCCCAGGTTCCCGAATTCCAGCAGCAGCAGCAGCAGCAGCAGCGCGAACCCGCAGGCGGCCCGACCTCCCTCGCCTCGCACCTCCGCCCTGCCCAGCGGGGCCGCCCCTCGCCAACCCACCGAGGGGCACCTCGCGGCTGCTCCCTGCAAGCGCAGGGCCGGCGGGGCACGGCTCGGTGAGGACGGGCCTCACCTGCCGCGCTGAAGCGACAAACCCCCCT